ATAACCTGGAAAAGTATTTCTTTAACTTGGAAAGACCATAGGACCATATAGTAAGGCAAGCGCATCCTAGATGACACACTACCTCAAGAAGTTAGTTCATGTTATTTAGGGGTAATAAATACAAGGGTTAAATATGTTTGTAGTCCCTCAACTATCAAGCGATTTTGTTTTTCGTCCCTATTTCAAACTTTGTACGATTTGATCCCTCTCCTTAAAGAAATCATAATTTTTGGTCCTCCAAAACAAACGGCGTCAAAAATTAGCTGAGGTGGCTAACGGTGTATGCCAAATATTTTTTTTTCTGACACTCACTGAATCTTTCTCACCTTTTCTCTCTCTTTCACGGTGTATTGTTCTTTCTGGCGTAGGAGCAAAATCTGTTTTTGAGAAGGCAGATTTACCAGGATAGAGGAAAGGTAGAGCCGGGGAAGAAAACCACTTGGAGATCTATCCAATGCAGGGAACCTCATCACCCAATTTTTTGTTTAATAATATCTGAAGACAGGTTGTAGGATTTTCTGCAGCAAGAAGTGAAAATCTTAAATGAAGCATCATTGCTACTGCCATAGCAGAGATAAATGCTCCACGAGACGAATTGAAGATCCTAAAACCAGAGTTTGCATTGTCCTCAACATGTTTTTCCACTTTACTATTATCTGATAAAAAGATTTCATCCCAAATTATTAGAAGGTTGCTGAGTGAAAATTCTCGCCCAAATAAAACTCGCAAACAGCGGAGAGCAAAGTATTGGGGTTCAACCCCGAGATCAACAAGATGGGCATGCAGAGATGAATCCACATGAGACAACAAATGATACAATGCAGCAGAAGCTTCAATTACAGAAGGCAAGCCAATATGGGATCCAGTCAAAGGGGAATAGGAGAAGAAATCGATCATTGAAATTGAACCACGAGCCTCATTCATCAAAGCATCAAACATACAATAAGCATCATGTTCGATGAATTTCTTAGATAAAACAATGCCCAGTTCACCTTCTGCCCCATAAGCGTCACTTAGCAACACGACGTCAGTGCGAAACCCTAACTCCTTTCCTAGATCTCTCCTCCACTTCTTCTCCGAAAGCTCCTTCTTCGCCGTGAAGGAGCCCCTTGCAGCGTTTGAGGTGTCATCCTCGTCGATTGTGGATGAGAGAACGACTGTGGAGACGTAGAAGAAACCGCGGACGACCTCCTGGGAAACAAAAAAAATACCAACGTGGCAAACGACACGTGGTTAGACGTTAGCCACCTCAGCTAATTTTTAACGCCGTTTGTTTTGGAGGACCAAAAATTATGATTTCTTTAAGGAGAGGGATCAAATCGTACAAAGTTTGAAATAGGGACGAAAAATAAAATCGCTTGATAGTTGAGGGACTAAAAACATATTTAACCCTAAATACAATTTAATTTCAACATAAACAAATGAGTGAGAAAGAATATTGAAAATTACAAACAAATTAAGTAGGAGGAATATTTAATATCTTAATTATTTACAAAGTGCATAGATATTTAAAAAAAATATTTGCAAGAATATGTAAGAAAACCTTAAACACAAATAAAATAAGATGAATGAGTAGTGTTTTTTGGTCCCCACGTCCTTTTCACTACAGGAAAAGCGTTATTTTCCGAAGGAATAATACCGACGGCCTCTGGGGCCTTCGGTAAAGTTGACTTACCGAAGGATGTACCGACGGTCATGTAAGTGGTTGATTACCGAAGGCTTTTTAAGTTTACCGAAGGCTCCATAGGCCGTCGGTATATTTATCGACCTAATGAAATGAAAATTTGGGATTTCCCTCTCTATTCTCCCAATTTTTGTTTCCGTAGAACCTCTCCCCCAAATTTTTCTCTCTCACTTCAGAACTGCAGTTTAACCCATTTGTTGCTGCAATTGGTGTGTGGACGTTAGGATAGTGACGGTAAGGAGGGTGGTGGTTGACGAAATTAATTATTCTGAGGGGGCTGGTCGAGGGTGGTGGTTGGTGTTGCGACTTGACGACGGTGTTCTGGCGACCTCACCACGGTGTGCTCTGAAATTAAAGGAACTTGGTCGACGGACTTCGTTGGAGGGGCCACTGTGGGCTTCTATCGCTGTCGTGCTCTACAAAGGTTGCCATCGTCTAGGGCTATCTTGGTTGAGGTAAGTTGTGCGTTTAAAAATTTGTTCTGAGTTTAATTGTTCTTCAATCTGTTTGATGTTCTTGTGGCAACAGTGTGTGTTGATGTTCTTGTGGCAACAGTGTGTGTTGATGTTCTTCAATCTGTTTGATTTCTGTTTTATTCCCCTAGAATGCTTTGTAAGTGATCACTAGTTGTATTGATTTTATTGTTCCTTTGTCTCTTGGGTGGTACTTGAACTTAAAGGGGGAAGATCCGTGAAGTACTAAGGAATTGGCCTGAGAAGAACATCCAAGTCATAGTTGTAACTCATGGAGAACGAATCCTGGGTCTTGGTGATCTTGGTTGTCAGGTAAATTCCATTATACCTGTTTACATTTATTATTTATGAGTTATATTGAATCACAAAATCTGATGTTATAATTTCTGCTTTACTGTATTCTTAGGGAATGGGAATACCAGTGGGGAAACTTTCTTTATATACAGCACTTGGAGGAGTTCGCCCATCAGCTGTAAGTATATTTGATCACACTGTTAACCTATAAGTTATGCCTGTCATAAACATATAATCATCTGTTTCTTTGTATGAAGATCTTAACTTTTTTTTTCGGACATTACAAATTGTTGTGCATATTGTAACTTTCGTTTCTTAGTAATCCTTTAATGTTATGTTTTTCAGTGTTTGCCTATTACCATTGATGTGGGTACAAACAATGAGCAGTTGTTGAATGATGAATTATACATTGGGCTAAAGCAAAGACGTGCAACTGGGCAGGTTCGTGATTTATTTTCCTTGCTCAATTATGTGAAATTAGTAATTTTTAATTTCAGGCATCCTAATTTCCTATTATGCTAAGTACCTACTCTGTTTCAACTTCTTTGGTTCCAGGAGTACGCCAAGCTTATGCACGAATTTATGACAGCACTCAAGCAAACTTATGGAGAAAAGGTCCTAATTCAGGTATTAACAAGTGTTTCAAGAGACAATATTTCTTGGCATATTATACTGTAGTTTTTGCTAGTTTCGTTTTTCTGATTTCTATACCTGTTTTGTCATGTATTTAGTTTGAAGACTTTGCAAACCACAATGCTTTTGATCTGTTCGAGAAATATATGTCAACACATCTGGTCTTTAATGATGATATTTAGGTAAGAAATTTCTGTTCACCAATGAATTCAGGTACTTACCTATACTTATAACCTATAACCAGCCCTGATATTGTGTCTACTGTGTTCCAGGGAACAACATCGGTTGTCCTTGCTGGATTAGTTGCAGCTCTGAAATTGGTTGGTGGTAATTTAGCTGATCACATATTATTGTTTCTTGGTGCTGGAGATGTGAGTGTGTACAATTCTGGGCTCACGTTCCTTATTGGTCATAGATAAAGATTGGCTTGTTTTTATCCTTCTGGCTTAATTGCATTGTCTTGCGGTTGTAGGCTGGCACTGGAATAACAGAGCTCATAGCACTTGAAACATCAAAACAGGTTTGTTAGCTGCTTTTAGTGTTGTGTTTTTTTTTCCTGTGGCGGATGGTGAGAATGTTGGATGTGAACAATGCATGAAATTTAGTTATTGAGAAACTACATTTGTTTATGCAGACAAATGCTCCACTAGAGGAAGTGCGCAAGAATATTTGGTTGGTGGACTCAAAGGTTGTCTAAAACCCAATTTAGCCCCACCTGTTCGAAGTAGATTCTCATCTTCCATTTCATTAATCTTTTGTTTAAACTTTAATAGGGATTGATTGTTAGCTCCCGCAAAGATTCACTCCAACATTTCAAGAAGCCCTGGGCTCATGAGCATGAACCTGTTAACAATCTTTTAGATGTTGTTTATGTATGATTGTTTATCTTTTAGAAGGAAATTACCGAAGGCTTCCGCCCTTCGGTAATTACCGAAGGCTTTTGGCCCTCGGTAATTACCGAAGGCTTGTGGCCCTCAGTAATTACCGAAGGGCCGAAGCCCTCGGTAAATGTTAGCGACAAGGGATTTACCGAGGGCTCTTTGGCCGTTGATAAGCCTTCGGTAATTACCTTCTACCTACGGTTTTGGGCTGTTTCCGATGGCTTCTGGCCTTCGGTAATGCCCTTCTTTTTTGTAGTGTTTGATTGTTACTGGGCAATGGTGGTACTCATTCCGTACACCACAACTTGTTTTAGGTTTAGAGAGAGAGAGAGAATTTATTGCCTCTTTGAGAAGCCTTGCATTTTCATGACCCATATACACATTCCTAACCCATTCATTCTCCTTTAACTCACATTGCTCTATGCATTACCTCCCTGCTTCGCTAAAATCATCAAAAGTTTTCAACATTAGACATGACTATGACTTAATTAGACTGCGATCAGTTAAAGTACTCCCCTTTTTGGAAAAAGTTTGATTAAAGTGAACTTCTATTTGTATCAAAAGTTTATTTCCACAAACTATACCAACGAATACCTGTCTCCTAACTTTCAAGAACATGTTTGTTTGTGTATGAAAGCAATCACATGTATCTTCTTTAATTTCCAGCTACCATTAACTAAATTTAAAAGTATTTGTTAAAATAATAAAAAGAAACTTGTGTAACTGGCTACCATTATGGAAAGGTAGAAGGAAATGTACTGTCCCACTGAGTTCTGTAATTTGAATTTCCGACAGGTTCCATAGCCAAATATCCAATCAAATCCGAGGAATTAAGGTTTGGGTCCCAGTGTTTATTAGTTAGTAAATTACGTACCAAGATCAACTTTTTCTAATTGTATATCTGCTGTTCGAACATCAATGTTTTCCCCCTCTCAAGGAATTATCCCTGGGAGCATTCTAGAAACGTAAAAAGTGTAATGAATAAAATAAAACAGAAACAAGGGAGAGAGGACAGACGAACAAACACATCCAATGTAACTAATAACTATAATAACTACCTTCAGCAATTTCAATAACCAAACTTCCAATCATAAAAAGACGAAATCCTAACACCAAAAACAAAGGCAAAATAAAATAGTAAAATATATAAGTTCTACTCTGACTACTATCTCAGACTATAGCCATGTGACATCCTCGGACACCACACCACATGTGTCATTAAGGTTAATATAGACTATGATCACGTAATTAATAATCTAAGATTACGCAATGATTTATGATCAGAGGCAAAGAGAAAGAGGGGGATGCTCAAAGTATCCATCGCCAAAAATGACTCTATTCCCACTTTCCTTGCACCTGCTTGGCCTCACAAACTTTGTCATACCCATTTCATCCTCGGAATTTCCAACGTACTCTTCCAACTCCTCTTCCACCAAAACATTATCATCATCATCATCTTCTTCTTGTTCTTGTTCTTGTCCTTCTTCTTCTTCCTCATCAGATACTTGTTGCTTCAAGCCTTCATCATCGGCAACTTCATCATCATAACAACTGGCCTCACTCTCAAAGAGTCGAAGCCTAAGCCTGCCATTGCCTCGCTCCGCTTCAAAATAGGGTTGAGGAGAAGAGGAAGTTACGGCTTCCAAGATAAGCCTACCATCTTCACGATGAGACCTAACGCTGACCTCCCCCATCGAAGTCAAGGGAGGTGGAAAGGTGCTGGTGCCACTACCTCGCTTGTTCAATCTTTTAGACTGAGAATTTTTATTAGTTACCATTACCACTGGAGTGTCGTTACTCCTTAAAGTGGGGATACTTTCAAGTGAAAATAAAGACATGTTTTGAGTGTCATCACTGGCATTACTACCAGTTTCGCAGCCTAAGCTTTCGGTGCATAGTTCCAAGCTCTTTGCGCTGAGCATTGAAGAGGAGCGCTTAACAGAAGGGTGGACGTAGACTTTGTGAGTTTCTGGGTCCTTGCAATGAGAAATGTTGGAGAGGGATTGAAGGAAAGTCCAGTTTTTGTTTCCATGTTGATGGTTTGGAGTGTGTGGGAGAGTTTTGGAGGCAGGGCATTGAGAGGGTGGTGGAGAAAGGTTGGAGTTGGACCCTGGTGGAGCCAATTTGAGCTTTAGCACACGTGGTTCCAGAAGGCAGGGTTCCACACTTGATTGTAACCCTTGACAGACACTTGAGTAAGACATTTTTGCGTTATCCACAATGGAAGTGTCCAAAGAAACAGGGGAGAAACAGAGGAGTTCTGTTTAGGGAAGTGGACTAAAAAATTGGGCAAAAACAGAGGAGATTATGTAAAACTTATCAATTGGTTTCGCTCATGTAGAAGATGGCTTCCTCCGAAAACAAGAAAACAGATGAAGAAGTGAGGAACGGACATGAAACACAAGTGTCAAGGGTGAGTGTCTATATATAATGCCCATGTTCACTTACCTTTAATATTTTGTAGTGGGAAAGGGGGTCCAAACATCACTCAGCAAATTATTTTTAAAAAATTAAGGACACCAGAATCAAGCTTTATTCAGTTCCCTTCTAAGATTTCCATTAAATATTAGTATATCATTAAGAATGTTTTTAATTTTTAACGAAAATTTTTAAGAAATCGTTTCCTAATATTTTGATGGTAAAGTGGGTGTAGTTTTATATCAGGTTTCAAAATATCACCATCCATTTTAGAGTAGAAGAAAAAGAGACTTTGACATACTATGAACACTAACTTTATAACATTAGCACTTTTATCTAAAAAATATTGTTTATACATTCATTCCACAACTATACATTTAATTACATCAAGTCCCTTGATTTAATTATGATTATGACTCGTAACAAAGATGAGTTAGTTTTGCAAGAAATCTTTGAGGTTGAAATCAAATTGACAAATCCCTGCTTGATATTTATTGCTGAATTTATTTTATATGATATAGAAACACTATCCTAAATCTTGGTTGGTTGTTGAAGGTGTATTGAAATAAATTACAATTACATTTAGATTTTAATGTTCTTAAATGAAAAAAAATTATATTCCAACTATTAGTTATAACTTTTAATTTAATAGTAAATGTTTATAATCGTTCAGAAAGATATTATTACGGTTAGAAAATTACCCTCATACACATTTCAATAGTGTGAGTGTAAATGTAAACTATGTACTGGATTTCGGATCTCAAAAGATTGTACTATTTGATTGAAAATTTTAGAAGCGTGAGGATTCTTCTGAGATCAAATTGCAGAGAATAAAATAAAGAAAAAGGGTGATCAAGTGGGGGAAAAGGATTCATGGGTGGGAGCTTGTAGAGAGACAAACGAATCAACCTAGTTCATGTGTAAGATTATGCTAATAAATATAGGTACATTTTTAATATAGCCTATATGAGCTCAGGTATAGAGGTCTAGCATTTATGTTTTCAAATTAAGGTAAAATAAGCGGAAAGGAAAATATAACCTATTGTTAGCATTGCATGAAGTTGAAGATATTCATTAATATTTTTATTTGTTTGTATTATATGAAGTTGAAGATATTTATTAATATTTTTATTTGTTTGTATTATATGATTATGAAGTCAATCACGACCAAACAGTAGAAGAGAGCTCCCAATAGAAGAAAACGATCGGTAAATTGATCGGTTAAATCACAACAACAAGATCGTTGGATAAAAATAAATATGTTAATCACTGAATCAAGTCATTAGTGTATGGATTGTAATTGGATCACCATTAATTAAAAGTTCATTCTAAAAATTTATAAATATATAAGTTTGAGTATATATTTATTGTTAAAAAAAGCATGTTAACTATTATCTGTATTGTTAAGAGTTTAAAATATTAATGATATTATTTGTTTAACATATGCTACTTTGTTTTACTCAATCCTTAATATACATATATAATAAATGAGAAGATGATTATTAGGAGAATGTTAATTATATTTTTAAAACCTTTGTTCTTTTTTGAATAGTCATATAATAAAATCTTTGAATAAAATTCATTTTCATGTCTTCTAAGCCAAGAGAGGTCTCTCCAACTTTCCTTTACTGTATCCTTAATCATGAAGATATAAAAGCTGAGGCCTCTTAAATTTCTTTTTATTTCTTCCATTGATCAATAATTCTAAAATAACATTTTTTAGAGGGTTCTATAGAAAAACTTACAAGAAATTTTCTTAAAAATGACACCTCTTTATGAATATTAAACATTAATTATACTTACATTATGATATTTTTAAATTAAAAATTCAGGTTTTTGAAATTTATACTCTGTTATTGGTTCCTAAAAAGAGAGAAAAATAAGTTTATAATTTAAATAGATTTGACATTATCATATAATCACATCGTCATATATGATAAACTTGTTGATATGATATTAAATATTTTGGGTTAAATATGTTTTTAGTCCCTAAACTATTGGCCGTTTCTGGTTTTCGTCCCTATTTCAAAGTAAGGTACAATTTGGTCCTCATTCTTTTCGAAACGTTCGTTTTAGTCCTCGAAATTTTGGTTTTAATCCTCATTTGTTGCTAAATGAGGACCAAATTTTTTTAAACAGTGTTTAGTTTTCGAGGACTAAAACGAACGTTTCGAAAAGAAAGAGGACCAAATTGTACTTTACTTTGAAAGAGGGACTACGACCAATAGTTTAGGGACTAAAAACATATTTAACCCAAATATTTTTTTATCGAAAGTGCATAAAATAATTCACCCAAAATAAGTATGTCTTTCTTTAAATTACGGTATTGACAATGAGTGTTTTATAAATATTAATTAGTAGTTAAACAGAACATTAACTACATTTTCTTAAATACTTAAATGACCTAAAAAAAAGGTATATATGTATTAAATAAAATTTTACTATTTCAATATAATAAATATTCTTAATAAATTTTGTTATTTTAGTTTTCTTAATCAATATTCTAAAGTATTAAATTGAATTTGTGGCCAAAGAAAAATGAGACATTTTACTCTGCTTATTGTTTTTTTCACTCGATATTTTAACAATATAATGGATGATGTGTCACTATTTTATTGTTTCGTATATTTAAAACGGACCAATTACAAGTTACCATATATACTGTTATAAAAAAATTGTTAAAAGAATATTTTCCTTTTTTTTTTCCTTGGCTTTCTCTAGTTCTAGGTTTTCCATTGGCCAAAGCTGGATTTAGCAATTGCCTAAAATTGTACGGAAAAGGCACATGACTATTTTGCCTTAGAACATTCGAGAAGATTGACACAACAAAGAAGCTCTTTTGAAGTGTCCATTTTCATTTTCATTGCACATTAGGGCAAATTTTGGCTCTGAGATGCAACATTAAAGGTCACTAATTAACTGTACACACACTTCCCGAACATCATAATAATCCACGTGAAAAAATTGAATCAGAAAATGCTAAAAGAGAGTTTGTCACAAATTCACTGTGTTAATGCATCCACACATTGCACCACTGTACGAGGTATATCATGATGCATACGTTGTCCACTTGCACTCTAGAAGTCACCAATTCACAAACAAAAGGACCAAGTTGCATATATATCATTCATCTGTGTGGCTCTTAATATACTCTGCAAGACCTTATGCAATCTACCATATATGACCTGTACTACCTTGTATCATCATCACTCAGTTCATATTATTGTAGATGCAATCAATGAAATTCTATTCTAAGTTCTCCATACATAATTTCTCACCTTTTTTTACTACACAATGCACCATCCCCACTCACTTTTAAAATGAAAAAGTAACAAAATCCATAATCATCATCCACCAATTTTACACTCATATTTTCACTACAAAGGACAGATTATTTGGAAAGATAATATATAATTTTCCATTCTTGATACAATAATAATACTGATTTTTTATGTGGATTAGGGATAAATTTAATTTAAAATATATATGTAATTGGAAACATTAAATTCATTTGGTATTATTAAGTTTTTATCACATCCTTTATATAATGCCCATCTAACCCTTGATTGGCCTTCCGTGAATATTGATTCATTAGATTACAAAAAGGTTTGAACTCATGAAATTATGAACTTCTGCACAAAACTTCTCACCATTAACCTAAACTTTTTTTATTTTTTTCTATTTTTAATTTTTTACGCAGACATAATACAGATAACAGTGGCTCTATACATAATTTCACCTCTCTCAACTTGGAAATTTTACCAATTTACTGTAAGCATATAGGAATAATTGAGTACAAAATGACATGCCTTCAATCGTAGAGGTCAACTGAGGAAAGATTATAGACTGAGTGATTGTGCGATACCCCTTTAAGTTTTCAAACTTGTGCATTAGTGGTTAGACAAAGGATGAGACGAGACATGAATTATATACTGTACCAAGATTAGTTTTGAGACATATACAATGCTGTCTGTGAAGGAATTTCATTCCAGTAAAGCAACTTACGTTTATACATAAATGATGAAACTGGTCAAGACAAGAAGAGAGGGTCTAGTATACCCTACTGGTTTTGGCACAGCATACTCACAGTGTCTTCTTAATCAGTTCCTCTATATATACATATAATAAGCATTTAATGAAACAAAAACAGGGAAGTGAAAAGTTACACGAGAAGAGGGCAAGAGAAACAGAGGGGACAATAATATATGCGGCCATACAAACTTTCTCCAAAAGGTCACATCCTCCCCATCGAATATGCCTCCATGACACTCCTTTCACGATCCTAAACGACCAATCATGGGATAACGTTATAAAACCTTCCCATAAATTTAACTTGTAGTAGAACGTGAACCCTAAACCTACGTAGATATCATTATCATTCTCCAATTTTACTGTGCTCCTCAAGTTGAAGAACAAAGGTTTAAATTTCTGTTAGGAGGAGCATTCTTGTGCCAAGGGCGTAATATGAATAGATTTGAAAAGGTTGATGCTAATTATACATTTTCAATACTCATTGCTCATGTACCTCTCCTTTAAAACATGTTTTAAAACCCTCGTTTTCATTTATTGTTTGTCGTTTAAAATTATTTTACACATCACTCTACTTATTTATTTATTTATAATAAGAAATTAAATGTAATTTCACAAGACTAAGTTCTTATATCAACGCCGACACCACAACTAATTAATAGTCCCGTGTTCGTTGTACCACCGTGTTCTGGTGCCTCCCTCTTCCTCTGTGACTGTGCATGCCGTCAATTTGACAAAGGTGGTGAATGCGGAAACTCCGCTGTTTTGGTCCTTGACATGTTTTGGAACCTGCTTTCGTCGTTGTACTGTTGGGTGAAACCACGGAAGAAAGATTGGTGTGAGTGATAAAGAGAAGGGTTCGGTGGATTTGAA